CTGTGACTACCATTTCCCAGGACAGGGAGGTAGCAGAGAGTGGAAAGGGTAGAGGCACATTCTAAGGTATGATGTGTCTAATCCCTTGGAAACATTGATGAAATCTTCTTGTGGCTGCCTTAATTTCCAGAGAGACAGAGCTGGCCAAATAGCCACAGAATACTTGTCATAGTAAGACAGGATTTTCCTTCACATTAAAAAAAAATCCTATGTTTTTTATTTTATTTGATTATTTATTTGAGTGTTTTGCCTGTGGGTGTGTATGTATCTGTACCACATGCATGCCTGGTGCCCATGGAGAGGTCAGAAGAGGGTGCTGAATCCTCTGTAACTGGAGTTATGGATGGTTATGAGCCACCATGTGGATGCTGGGGACTGAACCTGGGTCCTCTGCAAAAGTAGTAAGTGCCCTTAGGTGCAGAGCTATCTCTCCAGCCCTCCTTTACATTTTTTAAACAGTCTAGTAACTTAATTCTTAGTCATTAATTTGCTTGTTAAAGATCATCAATAGTTGTTTTTAAAAAAAACACTTACTGATCCAGTATTTTTTAATTTTAATTTTTAAAAATTTGGTCTGGTTATCTTGAGATTAGGTTGGACTATGTGGTTACATAGCTGGCCCTGAACTCTTCTAGGTCACTGAGGTTGACCCTGAACTCAAAATCCTCTTTACTTAGCCATCCATGTTCTAAGATTACAGGAATGCACCAGTACACCCAACCAGACCCAAGTCCTTAAAATGAGAGTCCAGTGTATTTAAGTAGGCAAGCGAAACTCATCCATGTGTCTGGAGGGAACAAGGCTAACCCTCCCCCTTCTCACTTTTCTGAAAAGTATGTAACCAGGGCTGGGAAGGTGGCTCAGCATGCACTGCTCTTACAGAGGGCTTGTGTTGGTTCCTAGCACCCACATCAGGCACTTACAACTCCCTGTAACCCCTGTTACATAGGGGATCCAACACCTACGACAATCCATGCAACACCTGTGCTCACGTGCACATACCTACATATAGAGGCACACACATGAGGGCACACACAATTAAAAATAATAAAAAAATAGATATTTAAAAATAGATCAATAATTAAAATACTTCTGAAAACAGAACGAATGGCCTGAAAACATATGGGCTATTTCTACAGTGATTTCTGGAATAGTTCCTAAAACCTCAAGATTCTTCCCTCAGGTCTCTCATCTCACATACAGGAGGCCACCTTGCAAACTGTCCATGGTGAGAGTTTACGAGAGAGAGAGAGAGAGAGAGAGAGAGAGAGAGAGAGAGAGAGAGAGAGAGAGAGAGAACTGACCCATTAGAAAGTGCATTTATATCTCAGCAAAGCCTGTGTTTGACAAGTAAGTCAAACACAGTAAATGTGAGCTCTAGAGCCATGTGGACAGCTGCCATCAGCAGCGGGTGTGGCAATGATGCTGGCAGCCATGGTGTCATTTTGGATGTCCTCATCTGGCACCCTGGCATTCCCTTCCCTCCACTCATCTCATGGCGGTGGTTACTCATTTTTTTCTTAGTAGAATCAAACAAAACAAGGCTCTATCATTTAAATAACCCTCAGGAATCTTTGCAAAGAGGAGACTTATAGTTGAAGAATTAAAAATACCACCTCTAATTATGTCCACTCCTGTAAAGCTTTGCTCTGACTGATGCCTAAGGCAGGGAGGCTTGGGAGGTGTGGCAACCATCTTTGACCTTCCATGAATTGCTTGGCCTTACTGTTCTTGCCTCAAAGTGCCACGTGGTAGGAGTTTCCACTGTGGACTTGTTGTTTCAATTTCTATACATATTCTATTAGGTTACATTTGTTATGAATATTTTATACTGTGAATTGATTTATCAAATAAACTTACGGTAAAATATTGTACCCATTTTAAAGATGGGAAAACTGAAGGTCAGAAATATGAACTACTGATAACCTCTGCAGGGAGGAAAATCACTGTATACTCATTCACATGTGTGCTTTTATACATTATAGTTAAGAGGAGGCTATATGGGATACACTACATGTGTGAGTGCTGAAGGCATAGGAAGCTCATGGTATTTTATCCAGATGTGACTCATAGATGAATCTAGTAAAGGTGGGGTTGATAGAGTTTAGATCAAAGCCTTAAGTGCTAGTGAAGTTAAAATGTCTTTCTGTGCATTTTCACTTCCATTTCATATGATATCTTAGTGTGAGAGGGTATCATAGAAGTCATGTAAGTAACTCTATCCAGTTTAGTCCCCTGAATTTACACAGGAGGAGACCAAGACTAGAATAGCAAATGTTTTGCAGCCCCTAGTATTGGAGAAGGTAGCCTTCTGGTTTATTACATTCCTTACTTCTAACACCAACTAATCCCACTTGTACAGATGCCTTGGACTACTAGTTCTCTGGGGCCAGAGATGGTCCCAGACTTGCGTTTGCAGAGGCTGGCTAGGGAGACTCCTGCCGGCCAACCAGGAAAGACAACAGGATGGCAGATGCTCTTCAACGGAGCCTGTATTCTTACTGAAATGTCAGGTTTTGACTCCGTCTAGGATCTCTGACTTTTCCATCTGTCCTTCACAGGCCAGTGCAGCAGTGACCTTTTCCAGTCCACACACAATGTCATTGTCAAGACTGAGCAAACAGGTGCGTGGGGAGAGGCAGAGGGAGCCACATTGGCCAGGCCAAGCCCTGGGGAGAAAAAGAGGAGGGAGAACAGAAGACCACGGGAGAAAAGCTGGCAGGGAACCCATGGCGGTCATTCCCCAGTCTCCAAGCCCCACCCTGCCATAAGCCTCTTCCTTGCTCTTGGCACCAATGACCACCAATTGTGTCTAATGTGTAGATGGGTGGTGAGCCATCCTTCGCCGGTCACAGCACCATCCAGATGCAAGGCCAGTTGCTGGGTAAATACAGACTCTAAGGTGGGCTTTCTTCTCAGGAAGAGTGAGGCTGGGTTCAGAAAAGCAAGGGGAAGGTAGAAGTCTTTGTTCTCCACCTTCCGCGGGAGTAAGCTTCACACGGAGGGAGCTGCTGTCTTGATGCTGCAGGGGGCATAGTCTCTGGGCCCTCCTGAGCACCCACGGGGATGTTGAAGGTGGTTGTGGAGCACAATCCTCACGAGGATATTTCCACTTGAAAGAACCTATCCCGGGCTCTGAACAAAGTCTGTGGTTTCATAATGTCTACATTCATTTTTGTTCTCTCTCCTCTGTCCCCCAAACTTCATGGGCACAAAAAACGACACAGGTGCCACTGGTCCTGAGTCACTCCGTATGTCCACATCAGGTAGATTATAGGCCATGTGGGCTGACAACGTTTGCCTGAGATCTCCCAGAGGGTTGCGTGCTAGTCACCAAGGACAGAATTTGACCTGGGGGTGGTTTTTGAGTCACTTGGCACCAAAATTAGCCCATGCAGTTATTTAATCTTTTATAAGGGCCCTGGTCTACCATTATTAAAGAAAAAAAAAAAAAACCCAGCTGCTGAACATGTTAATTAAACCTTCCTAGGCCTGTCCTGTAGTTTGGATGGTCTGTGTTTTGTAGACCTGCCCAAGCTCTGTAGACAGATCAGGATTTGGCTTAGAGAATGGCCTTGGCCTTACGTATAGCCCCACTGCAAGGGCCAGGGTGATATTGGAGAGGCTCCAAAGAAGATGATAATCCTCCTTGACCATCCGGACATTCTTGTGTTGCTGGTTCAGAAAAGCTGAGCTCAAGGGTGGAGAAGGTCCACCCTAGGAAGAGGGGAGAGGAGGCTCATAGAGGGGCCACCCCCAAACCTCTTTGGAGATTGTTTTTAGAGACAACAACAGATGTACAAGGTGACCCAACAAGGACAAAGGGTGTAACCCCAAGAGATTGGGCTTAGGGTGTCCAAACACGTAGCTGTGAGTTCAAATACCAGCTAAATCCCCATGTTGTAAACAGAAGGATTTAACCAGTGAGTCAGGCCTTATACCATTTATGCTATAAAAACAAAACAGCTCAGCCAGTGGTTTGCCGTCCTGACCTTCACATGTGGAACCTGGGTATCAGCGAAGCCAGTGTAGCCCAGATTGGAGACCAAGAGTTCGATGCCAGGGACAAGGTGAGAGCATCACGCTCTTGGCCAGCCTGCAGAGAGAATTCTTGTGTTGGAAGCTGGCCTGGATCTGGCGATCGTGTGGGAGTTGGGCTTCCTTGGGGGCAGGTGGAAGGGAGTTTCCTCTTAATCTGCAATCTGAAGAGTGTCTCACTCCAACTAACTCTTGAGACATAGCATACACGATAAGAAAAGGGGGGGGGGCATTTCTGCTTCTCCCAGAGATGCAAAGGCCCACTCATAAAAAGCTTTTTGGGTGATTTGGTAACATTTTTTCCCCTTCTCCTGAGTTTTGAGAATTTTATATCACCTCTTAAGCTACTTGGAGAAAAATTAGACAACAGTGGCTGTCACTCATCTTAAGGGTTAGCTACCCTTTGAATTTCAACAATGAAGAAATTGTGAGAAAGCTGGCCAGTTTTTTTTTTTTTTCCTGAAAGAAACACCATCAGTTCCCTACCACCGCCAGAAAGAAGAATTCTCTTTAACCCCTTATTATACATTTATTCATCCCCAACAAAGCTTTCCCTCCACTTCAGAGTAAAATTATCCTGGTAATTATGTGGCAGGAGTGAGGTCAAGCAAGGCTGGAGCATTTCTAGAAGAATGGAGTGTTGGTCTAGGACAGGATTGTGTATCCTGAAAATGTAATGAGTGTATATCACAAGGTTAGAAGCATTGCAAAGTGGTTCATATGACGTTGGGAGAAAGAGGGGCTGACGTGGTTAGAAAGTCGCACCGTGCTGAAGTGGAGTCTTACTCCGCTTGGCTGCCTCATCCTTCCCTCACGCTCTTGGATGAGCAGACACTTAGAATGGGAAATCTTCAGCCCAGAGATAACAATTGTTGACGTTCCCCATGCTCTGTTCCTTGCAGATCCTTCCATTATGAACACATGGAAAGAAGAAAACTATCTCTATGACCCCAGCTATGGTAGCACAGTAGGTAACTAACTCCCTGACTCTGAAGGCCCTTTCGCATGCTTGCTCTGCTCCAGTGTCGTGTTGTCAGCAGGGTCTCTCAATGTCCTTTCTCTTGTTTTTGCTCCCTGCAGATTTTTTGGACAGCAAAACTTTCTGCCGGGCCCAGATTTCCATGACAACCTCCAGTCACCTTCCAGTTGGTAAGTTGTCCAGACATGGACTGGGTTTGCCTCTTGGCTGTGCTTACTAATGATCAATAAAACCTACCACCACCCTACATTTCTACCTGGCTGGAGTCTTTCTCATTAAAAAGCTAGGGAATGAACTGAATTGTCATCTGGATGAGTAGCTATACTTCCCAGCCAGTATGTATACACCAAAGATTGTCAGCACACATCCCTCCACAAGTATTCTTCTGCGCCACTCTGTGTAACTAGTCACTCTCTTAAGACAATGAAAGTTCCTTGCATTTTCCCCTGTTTTTAACACAAACTTGCTTTGGGAATAAACTTGGTAATAGCATTTGTATTTATTGGAGAGAAGACTAGATTTCATTTTCAGTTGCATCCCAAACATACATTTTGAACTATGTTTGGCCTTAGAGAACAATGAACTCTAAACACCTGTGGACCGGAGGGCATGGTCTACAGACAGAGTGATTTGGAAGTTTGAACAGCAGCCCTGCACTTACATTCCTACTCCCCAATGCCCCCCTCCCCTGAACCCAGCCCATTTTGAGGTCTAACCTTGATGGCTCATCAGCACTCTGCAATCAGAGCTTCTGTCCTGTGTCAGTGATGTTCTCATCAGTTGCATTGGTCATGGTTCGATACAACTTGGGACTATCCACAATGCTCTGTCAAAGGTTATAGCAATGTTGGCACATAGGGGGCTAGGTCTGGGAAGGGGCTTTCAGACACCAGGTACATTTATATGTGTCCTATAAGAATTAGCTAAAAGAAAGAGTTTGTGTTGTTCCTTGACCTGGTTATTTCTGGGTCTGTGAAGCTGAGACATCATCTGCAAGAGAAATGTTCTTCAGGAACTGACCTTGGGGGCAGTGACAGAACTGGAAATGAACAGGGTCTGTGTGAACAACAGCATGGGCTTGAACAATACTGCCTGCTCTTCTTTTGCTTTGGTTGAATGTATGGTTGTGTGAACTGAACTATTGAGAGCTTTTAGTTTGAAGTTTTGTTTCTATCAAGCCCCTTGAATGAGAGGGCTGGGAGCTAGTTTAAGCACTTTTGGAATTGTAGTTGAGATCTGAAGGCGGCCCTGTCGCCCAAGCCTTTAGTGCGTGTCCCTTGACGTGATTTGTGAAGTGACCAGGAAGTAAGGCCAATGTCAGGAAGGAGGTAGTGTATTGCCACTATGGAGGATCAGTCCATCTGAGTAATTTTCCATGGCAATTGTTGCCACCTAGAGAAGACTCCCAGCTTCAGGGCTGAATAAAGCACCCAAGTCACCCACTAGTTTCCACCCCAACTTCCTGTGGCGTCACCTGCCACGACTTTCCGGTTAGGTCTTTAATTCGGCAAAAGATTTCAGCTAAGGATAAAATGGAACCAACTGCTTCTCACAAACTCCCAGGAAGTCACAGCCCTGTTACCTCACATCCTGGTCTGTCTGCCTTCCACTCTTGTGCCTTAGATCTTCTAGCATCTCAGAACAGCAGGGTGTCAAGGCAGCAGCTTATACCTGCATGCTCTAACAGCAGGAGCTGCTGTCCCCTGCATCCACCTATTTGTGGTGGTTTTAGATGGCCCTTCCTTAAAATGAGCTGTAGGAATCTGTCCCCTCACCTCCACCCCATCTCCATTCTCCTGTTCTCCATTATCATCCTTACGCTGGAACAGCTGGAAAACAAGATGAGTAATTCAATCCTTCTATCTTAAAAACAAAAAGCAAAACAAAACAACACCATGGTGTCTGCAGTTGGTGAATTCTTTGTATTTTAGGTCTGGTAGGACAGTAATAGCAACCATATATGAGTCAATTCCTTCCAGAATAGTTTAGTCTCTACTGGATGGGGCCAGAATGCCCCCAAAGACCTTTGCCATCTGTCCTAGTCTTGCTATGTCAAGTTCCTATAAAATAGGGTGCAGTTAAACATCTATCTATGTTTTCATGCAAGTTCAAGCTGAGCTAAGGCGAGGCTCTGTGTCAACTGATGGTCTCCTCGATAGTGCAGGTGGGGAAGCCGGCTTTGTTTTGATTTTTTTTTTTTCATCTGCCCATTCCATAAAATGGCTGCCACCAGTGTTCTGATCTGCTCGATAGAAGCAGAAGCCAGTCCTGCCAACTCGGGCTTGATGTGTTTATCTACTGACTTGTTGAGCCTCAAGCTAGGGTGGCACAGTCTATTAGAACACTAAGATTTGTATATCCCGTAAAGAAATGGCTCACAGCTGACTCATATGCAAATACATCTAATCTCTGCTTTCTTGCGAAGCAGCTAGGCTGAAAAGCATAGGCTCCCACTTAGACTGTAAACTCAGGGCTGGGGACTGCTTCTGCCTGGACCCCACAGACACCCTGACCCCAAGTGTCTGAGAGAGAAACAAGAGAAAGCCAGGCTGGACAACCTCTGTCGAGCTAGCCATTAGTTTATAAAAATGAATCACTTGACCATATGGCCCACTTCAAAAGTCTGGCTTTTGTTTTGTGGCAGTGGGGAGTACAAGGGGGCAGAGAGAGGCAGTTGTATTAAATGAGCTCCTAGATCAAAAGGCCTTAGAGTTAAGGCTGGTAGGGTTTTTGTGGCTTCCTCTGCTTGTTGGCAGGAGAAGAATGTCTGGAAGAAACATTGCATCTTTTTGTCTTGGATTACTTTTTCTCCTATGTGAGGATGGGGACATCTGGCCTCGTGTGTGTGTGTGTGTGTGTGTGTGTGTGTGTGTGTGTGTGTGTGTGTGTGTGTGTGTGTGTATGGTCTAGCTTGACGAAAGGGCTGACATCTCAAAGAGAATCAATTCAGTCTTTTAATCTAGAGTCTATGAACCCCCTAAGTGAGCCAGGGATTCCCAAAATGACTGACGAAATTTCATTAGTGTGACACACTTGCATTTTCTAGTGGAGAACATTTAGGTGTTCATCCAATTCTCAAAGATACCATAACCCCAAAGTGATGAATTCTGCGTCAGATTGGAGCCCCCGTGTACTGAGTAAGGCCAGTGGGCCAAGAAACTCTTGTGTTTTTCTGAAGTCATCCCTGGCTCTGAAATCATGGCCCTGTTCCCTCCTGGATCTCATTGGAAAATGAGCTTTGCTTATGGCCTACTGGGTAAATGCCATTCTTTGTCTCCAGAACAACGTGGCCCTGTCAGGGTGATGTATCACTGGGAAACCGGGGTGGGTGCCAGACCTGTCTCAATGTCATCATGTCCTGGTGGGGTGTTGCAACCTTGGCCTGTGAACTGCAGGGGGCCGAGAGAGGCGTCCTTTCCAGTTCTGTGTATTGGTCCTTTTGGATTTCAGAGAAAACCACATAAGGCCAGGCCCTGCTGGCACTAATGCCAGGAGAGCAATTCTTACTCAGAATGAGGAGTTTCTCTTTTATTTAATCCCTCTTCTCATCTCAGTGACTTTTGGAAAACCTGCTAGGAATGTGGAAGCGTGAGAAGCTCAGGGATGGAGGGATGGATGGATGGATGGATGGATGGATGGATGGATGGATGGATAGGTGTACCCACACACTGGGAAGTATAAAAACAGTGCATAGGAATTGTGTGTGTGTGTGTGTGTGTGTGTGTGTGTGTGTGTGTAGACACTATGGAAGTGGATTGGCTCTTGGAAGGACATTTGAGAAGTGTGTTATGTGACCAAAGACCCTCCCCCTTAGGAGGCTTCTTCTGAGATCCAACTACTGGTATTTACAGCCTGGCTCTACTTTTAGGCTCTTTCTTGGATCCTCCATAGGAGCAGACCCAACCTTACAGGGTTTTTGTATGAATTATATAATAGCATCTACCTCATATCATTATTTTATGAATGACATAAGGTAAGCCATGAAAAATGTTTTGTATTGTGTCTGGTACATGGCAAGAACTTAATAAATAGGAGTTATTTTTTCTTAACTATTCTGTCTTATCATTTTACTTTTGGTGGTGCTGGGGATCAAGCCTAGGGCCTTCTTTGTACGAGTGCTCTAACCCTGGGCCATGTCCCCCCATGTCCCCAGCCTGTTTAGTCACTTTAACTTTGGTGGCTCATAAACTCTCTTTTGAATAGTGGCCTGCTCTATCAGATGCTTGCCTGGACCCCCTCCCTGTGTTGATGAATCTAGAATGCTCTCAAAGGCCTTAACAGGGATCCTTAGGTTAGGAAGTTCTTCTATAATGTCACAAGAAGGGACATGTTTTGCTTAATTTCTTTGAAGGATTGACTTGTGTTTAGGGGCTATGTTGAATCAAAACTGGCTCGCTATTGATTACAGGCCTTGGGATGAGATCACCAATGGTCTACACAATACCTGAGGCACCCTTGGAAATACACAAACACAGACACACACAGACACAGACACAGACACAGACACAGACAGACAGACAGACAGACCCACACACCTGGGGGAGGGCCCCTAGGTTGTTACTTTCCTTTCCTTTAACAGTTCTTTTAATGATGTATTTATTTTAATTGATGCACGTGAGTGTTTTGCCTGTACATATATATGTGTCCCATGGGCTTGCCTGGTGACCGTGGTAATCAGAAGAGGACATCAGATCCCCTGGCACTAGACCTACAGATAGTTGTGAACCATGTAGGTGCTGAGAACCAATTCAAATCCTCCGCAAGAGCAACATGTGCTTTTAACTGCTGAACCATCGCTTCGATCCCTTCTTCATCTTAAAAAAATTAATCTGTAATAATGATACATTTATGAGCCATGCTGTGACAGTTTGATACTTGCATATAATATGTGATAATCAAATCAGACTTGGTAGCTAGCTAGCATCCCCGGCTCTTCAGTGTTCATCGTCTCAGTGCTGGGAGCCTTGGGACTTCTTGGTTCTTTGTAAATCTATGTAATAAATCACCAGGCATCATGTTTTCATCCTCCTGCCTGGTAGACAGTTGACCTTGTTCCTGCAGGGAAACTGCGCTTGTGGCATGTCATTGAGTCTCCCGCTGTTCCTCTCATCCCCCCTTCATCCCTAGCCTTCATCGTTCAGCTTGTTGTTTTGCTGGGATTAAACTTTTCAACCTGTCATATATACCTGAGAACATCAGTGTTTTAGTTTTTTTTTTTTTTTTAGGAGAATTATCACATCATAGATCTGCCTCTGTCTTCTCCTCTATGGAGACAGTGAAAGGGTTACCATAAAGAGTCATTTGTTAAACTAATCTGTGTTTCCATAGTCCACTGTGGCCCTCTGTGCTAGGCTCAGGCCACTCAATGGCCCCTTTGTCAAGGTGATTAAAATGTAACTTTGCATGCCAAAAACCGGCACTCCTCTAGCTTAAACGTTATCCTCCTTTGTTTTGAGTGTTTACATTTTTGTATTATGTTATAAAAACATCCTTTGGATGACCTAAATCTTCCCATGGTTTACCATCTCTCTCAGAATGAAGCAGAACAAAGTCCTTTCAAAAATTTCTGTAAGGCATTAATAATCTCTGCCCGTCTCTCTGCCCCTTGTCTACATCCGCACTGGCTTCTTTCTGTGCTGTGTAAACATTTAATGCACAGTGACCTGAGGCCCTTTGCACTTACTGTCTTCATTTATAGAACGTTTGTCCCCAGAGTCTCTGAGTGGCCACCTCCCCCACATCCCATGGGTCCCTGTGTCGCAGAATTCTTCCGTGACTCTGCTGTATTAAGTTGTAAACGAGTTCCACTTCTCTACTTCGACCGCCATTTCTACCCTGCATTATTTTTCTCCATGGCATGCATCCTCTGTTTTATGACTGCCGCCCAGCCAGACAGTACTGACATGCAGTGGGTGGTCAGTGAACACTGATGAAGTGTGTGACGAGAACAATACTTACGTGAGGTGTGTGAACTGAGGTGCTCTCACTTTTCTCCTTAGCCGAGTCACCTGATATGAAAAAGGAACAAGACCACCCTGTAAAGTCCCACACCAAAAAGCACAGTAAGTTGCCTGGCACTATTTCCTCCGTCTCCATTCCTTTGCTTCTATAGGTGGCTTGTTTTCTGTCAAAGGGACTCCTTATGTGACTGTTTCTGAAAGTGGGACCTCCTGGGGATTTCTTCCTCATCTTAATTTCTCTAAAACTAGGACACTGAGTGGATGAGAACTTGTGGACAGAAGGTTAGACTTCCCTTTGTCTAGGAGAAAACAGGGTAGGGCAAGGAGAGAGATGGGTAAGAGTGTCTGAGATGCATCACTTTTTCTTTGGGGGAGGTCTTGTCCCAAGAAATGACTGTTTGTTCTGAAGACTCAACTTTGCTCTCTGGGAGTTGGATTTCCCCAGGGCTAAAACTTTATGAACAGCCAGGCAGAGGTGGCACATGCCTTTAATCCCAGCATTTGGGAGGCAGAGGCAGATGGTATCTCTGTGAGTTCGAGGCCAGCCTGGTCTACAGAGCGAGTTCCAGAGCCCTGTCTCAAAAACAAAACAAAACAACAACAACAACAAAAAAAACAAAAAACAAAACAAAACAACAACAACAACAAAACCCCAAAAAACCAGAAACCAAAAAACAAAATCTTTATGAACGAATTTGGACTATCAGAGACATAGACTAGAGGGGGCACAGAGAACTGTCAAGATTGTACAATCAAGAATTGCCAGAAACCTGGGGTGTCTTCACTCTGCTCCACCAGCTTATCCTATAAAGGTAAACTCATACTGTTCCCCAAGTCCCATGGGGAAGGGGCTCTGACATGCATCTCCTGGAAGTAAAATCAAATTCCAGGAGCTGCCTAGCTTTTAAGTTGGTTCCCTTGATCCCTTTTTGAAAATTCCCTCTACCCAACATGCTCTTGGTGTTAAGACTCTATGCTCTGCTGACACCATGGTTGAAGCACAGCTGTAGGGTTGGGGTAACCAAGGGAGGTATTAGATAAATGGCTGAGGATCGATGTCTGAAATGAAGCCCAGTCTATTTGTGAACAATAACTAGGAGAAACTCAGCCTGGATTACATGGTTAACATCAATTCTTTAGTCCTGGCTTTGCCAGTGGTTGGTTGTGCCACATTGGTTAAACCACTGAAATTTCCCATGCCTTGACTATACTAGTTGTTCATTCTAAAATGACTATTTGGTGATTCTGTATCTCAAGAAGAAGCTGTAACTCCACATTGTCTCTCCCTCCTGCTCTCTGATTTGAGCTGTTAATAAGTCATCGTGTCTTGCTTTTCATCAGACCCAAGAGGGACTCACTTATGGGAGTTCATTCGAGACATTCTCCTGAGCCCAGATAAGAACCCAGGGCTGATCAAATGGGAAGACCGTTCAGAAGGCATCTTCAGGTTCCTGAAGTCAGAGGCTGTGGCTCAACTGTGGGGGAAAAAGAAAAACAACAGTAGTATGACCTATGAGAAGCTCAGCCGGGCCATGAGGTGAGCAACTTCATGTTCTTCCAATGGCAAGGCCACAGAGCAGGCGCTCCCTCAGTGTTCAGACTGAATGACTACCTTACTCATCTCCTTCTTACAGATATTACTACAAACGGGAAATCCTGGAACGTGTGGACGGACGACGGCTGGTCTATAAATTTGGGAAGAATGCTCGTGGATGGAGAGAAAATGAGAACTGAGGCTGCCAACACTTGGGACACAAACCAAAAACACACAGCAAATGGATTATGATCAATGAAGAACTGGACGTAAATATTTCAAAGACTACTTTTCAGTGATATTTATGTACTATGAAGGGACAAAAAAATCTACTTCTGATGGGAAGAATGAACACTACAGTTGATGAAAAAATTATTTTGTTACTTTGAAGTATGTCCTATGTGGGGAGCAAACGTACACAGTTTTCTGTGAACTATGAAGCTGTATGTGGTTGTGATGTGCTGTTGCCTCTGTTGTGATGTTTTGTTTTGTTTTGTTTTCCTACCCCGAGAACAACAGGGCCTGTAGCCTTGCGCTTCTTGTCAAGAGGAAGGGAAAAGAAATAAGAGGGCATTAAATATTTTCATAGACAAGATGATTCAGAGAAAAGGCGATATGTTCTCTGCACATAAGCATCCATGTGACCTCCTCAAGAGAAATGGGATTCATTGGTAGGACAAAAGTTCAGGGTCTCAGATTGATGGGATCAACCCAAAGGATGCTGGGAAAATTGACTTGACTTAGGAGATGGGGAATAGAGAATGGCAACTTCCATAATCCAGAGTGGCCTATAATCACTGCATGATTACATGACTGGGAATGTTTAAATAAATGAGAATGATGGTGGGGGAAGGACTTACCCTCATTCATGGATGACTCTCCTGTACCCCCTTTACACTTGGATGGTTAAAAATGTCATTTGCTTCATGTGGTCACTTCTAGCTATGTAGAATTCAGCCCAACTATTGAAAAAAAGGTGGGAAAAGGAGGTGGTGGCATGGGGATGGCTGATGAGCATGCTCTTGTATCTGTACTTTAAAGATTCTTGCTGGGTACAGTTGACATTTGGGGTTGGTTCATTCTTTGTGGCGGGGGTTGTACTGTGCATTGTAAAATGTGTAGCAATATCTATGACCTCCACCAGTACTTTGTACCTGTCACAAACTGAAGTGCTCGTAGAAGTTGTCAAGTGTCTCTAGGGGGACGAAAATACCCTTGAGTAAGAACATCAATTGAACTAGTCAATATAAAGGTAGCCATTCAGTCTTAGAACAAAGAGATTTGTAGAATCTTTTAGTCCCTAGAGTAAAGAAAAAGCAAGACCTCGAAGTCAATGTATTTTTAGTTTGTGTGTGTGTGTGTGTGTGTGTGTGTGTGTGTGTGTATGTGTGTGTGTGTGTGTGTGTGTTTTAATATCAGTGACAACAGGATGCAATAGATGGAAGACATTCTTTTCAGGCTGCCACATGAAAGCCAAGGTCAGATAAATGCAGTGACACAGCGGGAAATTCAGGAGGAAATGTTTGCCCTGGGAATGCAGAGAGAAGTTTACACTGCAGAAGGATCTACTGAGGAAAGAATCTGTGTATGTGCGTGCGTGTGTGTGTGTGTGTGTGTGTGTGTGTGTGTGTGTGTGTGTGTGTGATGGTACTAGGGGCATTTGGCAGTCTTCTCTCTGCTGTTCTTTGCATGGCTTTCCCTGGCTTTGGTCTAGGGTGGCAAGGTCTTTCTCGGGGGTTCCCTTCCCTCAAGCCTGTGAGTTTCTCTGATTGCTGTAACTGGCTTTGGCTCTTTTTACAGCTTCTCCGTCACAGAGCTATCCTTGTCAGAGGGTAGGAGAGTCTATAGAGGACTGGTGGGAACAGTTCTGTGGACAAATAGATTGTGCTGTTCTCTGAGAGGGACAGTTTCTTGGCACCTGGTGCCTATTTCAATAGGCTGCAGTATTAAGTGTTCTGCATATCTATTTTCTTGGCTTGAATTTGCTGTTTTCATGACTTGGAGAACTCCAGGTAACGAAGCTATGCCAGCTTGGGGAGTAGCAGAGCGTGTCCCACCACAGTTCGAAAGGAAAACCCTACAGAGAAGCCCTCTTTCTCTAGGGAATCATCACTTAATTGATAAGTTCATCTGTGATTAATCGGCTAATGGCTCACCAAAAACAGTCTCCTTGAATATTCCAAAGTGACATATTAGTGGTTTCCATGGGAACCTAAGTCAAGTAATGGAACATTAATACTTCACAAGTCTGAGATCATCTGAGGCTCCTATATGACTTGATATAATTAAGCAAGGCCCTGGATCCCAGGGATAGGTCCACAACTTCTTCAGTGTGCTGCCTGAGCAAGGCAGACCCAGGCCATGAGTTTCATGCACAGAGCCTTCCTTCAAATTCCTGTCTGATTAGATTGTAAGCTCTCTGAGGGCAGGGACCAAGTCTGATCCCTTTTGTTATCTTTATACCTGGGGTGCAACAGGATAACTATTCACTGAATGAATGATGACTATCTTCTGGGAGACTCCTCTGACTGGACAGACACCAGTCATATTCATAACTGGGATGTGAATCACTTCTCCAGAACAGAGCACAATAACCGAACCTTCAAGGACATATCCTCTTTGATGAACATTTTACTGTGACAACTCTCCTTTGCCTCTACCTGTGCTGAAAAGAAATTCAAACAGGCTGCTTGGTTCCACACATCAGTGTCTGCTGGAGGAGAATTCTATTGCCTTACCCAGAACTGTGAGACTTAACCTGGTTACAAGATACCAGCAATGAACCCCTGACCTATTTAATCAATGAAGATTATAAATGTGTTTATATGATGTTAATTGATATTTAAGCATAAAACCGTTTTCAGTTTTAGTATTTAGGGGTTGGTTTTTATTTTTTCTTTCTTGAAAAATGCTGAGGGATATTTTGAAAAGGTTAGCCATGCATGTTAGATGTTAGTTTTGCAAGTGTGTCCTTTTTTTAGTGTATAAAATGTAAGAAAAGGGAGAGCAGTGAGAGGGAGAAGCAACTACATTATTCTTCTGTAGTTTAAATAAAGCACCTAGCAGGTGTCCTGTGCGTAGTGGAGCATCAAATATGTGAGGAGTGTATGTGAGAATATAGGTTGTACAAGGCACATGATCTGGACCTATGGAGGAACACGGACTATGAGAATGAACCGCCATCATGGCGATCTTCGTGTCACAGGTGAGTGATCCTCAGCTGTGAGGCTCAAGATGCAGAGTCTAGCGTAAGGAGACCATTAAGAAAACCCAATTTCTTGGAACAGTGTCTCATAAACTTTCTGAAACGTGTGGGCTTCCAAGTTTAGTTGACTTGGGGTTAATCATTCTGTAGCTATAAATTTTATTCTTGCCATCGGCTTCTGGGTTGGTAATTGGTGGACAGCAACCCTACTGCCACTGGTTTTTGTTTTTGTTTTGTTTTTAAATCAGAACCTTTCCCCCTTAAACTGTTAAATCCAAACGGTTTCTGTTCAATGAAAGAATTCTATTTTTCAGAAATATGTTTTTATTTGTTTGTTTGATGGGTCCCAGAAAACACTAATAAAAACCACAGAGGCCATGCTGGAGATGTGTTTCCTTCTTTGGGATAAGCTGTCCTGCAAACTAAATGCAGGAACAGAACATGGCTTCTGGTTACATCAGTGCCTTTTTTTTTTTTTTTTTAAAAAAGGACTTATTTATTTTGTGCATATGTGTGTGTGTACCTGCTTGTCTGTACACCATGTGTGTGAAAAGGTGTCAGGTCTCATGGGACTGTAATTGCAGGTGGTTGTGAGCAGTTGGATTTGAGTGCTGGGAACCAAACCCAGGTACTCTACAGACATATCAAGCATTCTTAAGTGCTGAGCCATCTTTCCAGTTCCCAGCTGTTGGCATTTCTCTCTCCTGTGCCAGATGTTGTGGAGGATGATAGAGACAAAGCTGCTCAGCTCTACTGTAGCTCTGTCATGTGGAAACAGACAAAGAAAATCAAACATAGCACATCCCATGTGTGGAGCCAGGAGAAAGGCTGGAGGGGATGAGAGCAGGTGAGGTGGTGCCGCTGGTTCAGGGAGAGCTGAGAAAGCAAGCACCTCAGTAAAGTTCTGACAGTTCTAAGAGGAGGAGCCTCGGATAACTGGCGGAGTGTGCTGTGCCAAACAGCTGGCAAATGCAAAGACCCGGAGGTGGCCGCGTTACTGTTGTACCTAATGAACAGCGAAGAAGTCCGTTTTCAGAAACAGACTTACAGTGGTCGGCCATGATGAAAGAGAACCATGGGCAGGGCAGACCAGAGCAAAGCACAGGCACACAGGGAGGGTCTGCTCTTTGCTTTGCATGGGGGTGGGGCATTCAAAGGAGAGCATGCTTCAACTCCTGGCTCAAATGGTGGTTGTGCCCAGAGTGAACTTCTGTAGAAAAGCATTTGGTGCCCAGTGTACATTCACAGTAGTGGGATGCAGCATAGATTCCTTTCTCATTCTGGTTTCTAATACACTGCTCATAAATGTTTTCAGTAACTGAGCTCTGGTTATGGTACCTTTCTCCATGGACCCACTGTCTGTCACTCAGTCACCTAACCCCACACAGGTGTAATGAAAATAATAGCTAATTGCTTGGGGGACAATTCACAAGGTGTGAAGAACTGTGATAGGCTCTTACTCACTGTATTTAATCCTCATGCAAGCTGGTGATATATTAATTTGTTTTACTGAACAAAATAGTGAGGAAAGTTAACTGACTTTCTTAAAGTCATGAGCTAGTACAGGTCTGGCATTGTTTGCTATCAAAGTTTAAGCCCTCACCCTGTTTCTCTAGTTTCTAGAGATGCTAAGGTTTTGTGAGCAAACACAACACACACACACACACACACACACACACACACACACACACACACACACACACACATTCATGTGCACACAGGACCCTTTCTTTAGCATGTTGGGATTTGTAAGTTGAATCGTGTTTTCCAGAGCTGTATATGGTAGGACTTCTTGGAATTTTTGTTATATTGATGTATACTGGATCTACAAGAGAAACAGAAAGCATGGCCATTTCCCAAGCTTATTTGGAATGGAGCATTTCCATCCAAGAAGACCTCATCATTTGCTTTTGAACATCTAAGGATATAATGATTTTTAGAGATGACTTCCAAGATATGGATGAGGTGGCCTTTTTATGATCTGGCCAAATAACTATGCTGATACATTTCTGCATGCCAATTTGGCCAACTTTGAGAATGTCCCATTCTTTTCAGAAGAAATTTCTCACTAACTGCCTTGCGTATTGCTTATTTGTGTGAATGCGTTTCAGTACTTTTTCAGTAATCAGAAACCAAAAACCAAAACCAAAAACATTTAACTCTCTGGATTAACTAAAACTATTTACACTAGCTAAATTCGATAACTTAAACATTTAGTTTTTTACATTGTCCACCTTTTATGTGCTGAATGGCCACAGATGGCTAGTGGCTCCTGCATTGGCCAGACAGGATGTAGACACAGCCATCGTCAGAGAAGGGTCTATTTACCACGTTAGATCTGAGATGGAATGAGCAGCGAGCCAAGGTAACCACCAAGAAACAAGATCC